CAAATAAAAATAAAATAACTGCTTAGGTTATCACAATGGTAAAAATTGACAAAGAAATTCTTACTGTTTTTTTTGTCAGTGAAGAATAAGTTACACAAAATCAAACTGCAAGCTACTCAGGTACACAAATAACCGCAGTTTACTAAAATTCAATGAAGGTTGGAGGTTTCGCAGCTTTGTTTTGATGTAATTAAATACCAGCTGATAAATAACCACTATGTTGCTGAAATATTTGCATAACTTGGACTCGAAGCTGAGAGAAGGGCAAGGTAAGTACTTCAGTGAGCCAATGGGTAACACGTGAGCCTCTGGAAAGTAATATCGCAGGTTCGAATCTGCCATAGGTGTCTAACTTTTGCAAAAATCTCAGCATCGTGGTGGTTATCTTTCACATCATAGGCTATCGTATTAAACAATAGTAGGCAGTGAATGTAAAAGTTAACTAATTGAGAAATTAATTTGACAGCTTCGCTTTGTTTTCTTCTTTTACATCAATTTTTTTCCAACTTTTGATATCCCACCGGAAGTCACTTTAAAGAGGCATTGGTGGACGAATTGACAAACAATCTGCTTATCAAATTACTTTCTCAAAATTACAAAACCGAAGGCGTAAATTTGAGTTAAGAAGAAAATATCTCCAAATTGCAGCTTTATCTGTGCAATTCGTGTGTGTAAGGCGTATGTACTACCAGGAACTTGACATCGATAGAGAAACTGGGATTTGCCTCAGATTCTAAGATACGAAATAGTTAGCTTTCATCGAATTGTTCCACGGAGGTACCTCACATAAGGGATGCCGAACCGGTTAGTCGGGAGGCTACGTGGCGCGTCCCCAGGTGGCGGATAGGGGGTTAATCGCTGATCAAAAGCAACCGTACTTTTTCCTGAGACGTAGGTGGAACTAGGGGATGGACTCCATGTTTCTGCCGCGCTGATTTGGCACATACTTTCTGTATTTAGGAGTCGCATTCATGCACACGTGTGTGGGTGCGTTCAAGTTTATGCGGATCGTATTCTAAGAGTCAGTTCGGCCAAGAGTCTGCAACCAAGTGGCAGGAAAGTATATGGGAGGCGGGCGGTTAGGAGTCGCCTCTAAAAAATAAGCTCCATGACCACTATAAAAAAGCCTGGCAAGCTACCTGTGAGTATACCCAGCTTCCACGTTCACATCCCAGCACGCTATACGTGGGTATCAAAATGCGCGGCAGTAGAGGAGTCGATGGCGTCGGTGTTCTCATCAACACGAGTTCGTCCATGAACATCGATTCATTCGAACAACTTATAACCCGAGTTGCACGTTTACGACTGAAGAGATTTGGATTGATGCCGGCTTTGACAATTTTCGTCGTCTATGCACCGACATCAAACTATGACTAAGAAGAAGTCAAAGCGTTCTATGTGGACTTGGAGAAGTTCTACAGAGAAGACCACACAGTCTTCAAGGTCGTCATTGAAAATTCGAAGGCTAAGATTGGACTAGGAAGATCGTTTTAAGAACGTCACATTGGAACCCACGGATTAGAATTGAACGAGCAGGGTGAGCGGCTCTCCAAGTTTATCAAGACGACCATGGTAGCTCGCATTTCCAGAAGCTCCACCCTCGTCGCTGGACGTGGGAGTCACCAAGTGGAGAGCACCATAGCGAAATAGATCACACCATAGTAAGCCGAAAGTTTTGCCTAACCGATGTCGCTGTTGTCCCAAAATTTTGCACGGGATCAGACCTCCGCTCTCATCGTGCAAGATTCAATTTTTCGCGAAAAGTAGAAAAAGCCGCTAAATTCAAAAAACGAAGTTTCAGAACCACCATAAAGTAGGACTTATTCAGTTCATTAGTCGGCTGTTGGAAAGATACTGTTGTCAATAACACCAACGAGGAATACGATCGGCTCATTCAACATCTCTGCGTTAGCGCCACGAAAGCTGAGAGCTCGAAAGTTGTGAAAAGGTGTCTGTCTCCTGAAACTCTTGAGCTTATACGCCAGCGTGGAAGCGCACGAAGTGCAGGCAACCGCGAACGAGCGTCCGTACCTGTAAAACAATGTAGACACGCAATAAAAGAAGACCTTAAAGTGAGAAGAGCAGCAGCAATTGCAATGCCCGATTGCACTCCGACGCGCCGCCGCAACAGTTACAGTGTCCAAAAAAGCAATGGAGAAAATCATTTACGAATACTACTCAGATCTCTTCGATAGCCACGTGCACCTTCCGCCATATGAAATAAAGGGGGATGGTTATGTTGTACCACCACTTCTTCCTTTTGAAATTCGACACGCCACTACGTAGGTGAAAAATCGAACAGCTCTAGGACAGGACAGGATAACACTTGAACACCTGAAGAACCCTCCGCCAGTCCTCATAAACACAATTGCTCGGTTCTCCACACGTTATCTCTACGAATGCAAGATCCCTACTCAGTGGAACACCAGCATGACCGCGTTATTGTTCAGAAGAGTGACCTACGCGATATCGGCAACTATTGCCCAATCTGCTTGTTGTTCGTCGTCTACAAACTCTTCACTGGAGTCATCCTAAACAGAATTGACAGAACACTAGACGAAGGACAGCCATGTGAGCAGGCAAAGTTTCGAAGAGGATTTAGTACGATGGACCACATCCACACGGTAACACGGCTCATTCAAGTATCGCGATAGTACAAAAGACCGCTCTATCTCACTTTCATCGATTTACAGAAGGCCATTGATTCAGTTCAGGTGGAAGCAGCCTGGGAAGCCCTCGATAGTCAAGGAGTCCCTACTAAGTACATAAAGATTCTTCGTGAGCTGTACAAAAATTTCACAACCAAGGCATCACCATTCTACAACGATATTAACATTGGCGTCAAAAGAGAGGTTACCCATGGCGATACCATCTCGCCAAAATTATTTACCGCCACTCTCCAAACCGTCATGCGAACATTGGAATGGGATAATATGCGAGTGAAAATCAATGGTCGGCAGTTACACCATCTTCGGTTTGGTGGTGACATCGTCCTTATGACACCAAACATTAGCCATGCAGAATGTACGCTTCTCGGCTTCGATAAAACCTGTGGAAAGATTGGTCTTCGACTATATTTCACAAAAACGATGTTTATGAGGAACAGATTGGTTTCGTATGCTCCAGTCACGCTTAACGGATCGAAAATCTTTGAATGCTCAGTTATGTCTACATAGGTAGGGAAATTAACATGATGAACGACTGAGCTCCAGAGTTGAGCGGAACGAAACGAGCGGCTTGGGAAGCTTTCATGAACGCCGAGGATTTAGTGAAAAGAACAGAGAACACCTGATTCCGTGCCCACCTTTCCGACTTAACGGTACTTCCTGCTCTAACGTTTGCGTCAGAAATCTGGTCGCTGCGTAAGCGGCATGGAGGTTCACTAAGCGTTATTGAAAGTGCAGTCGGAAGGGCGATGCTAGGAGCATCCCGTAACATGCAAGTAAGGGATGGGATCCGAGGCTCCGACCTGCGTTAACGATCAAAGATCAACGATGCCGTTCTGTACTCCAAACAGTCGAAGACAAGGTGGGCCAGGCACGCAATGCGTGTGAATACCGTTGGACAAGAGCCGTTAGTGACTGGATTCCACGGGATGTCAAACGCACTGCAGGGGAAACACTGACCCGATGGTCAGAGTTTTTCACAAAAAGCTTAGAAGAAAAATGTGATGCTCAACGAGTCCTTAGAGCGAGCACCCGCTCGAGTCGCTCGACAATCAACGGGACTACAGGAGATACAGGTGAATGTTGTTGCCTAATTGTGGAAGTCTCGAACTAAATCAGAAATTCTGCGAAAATTGCATGTTAGCATTGCCGTTATAAAGAGTGAAGTAAAACCTCGTGTTTGCCCAGCCAGAACATAGAGAATTATTAAATCAAACATGTTTGAGGACTTTGTTATACTCTAACTTGGTTTTTTTTCTTGTCCTGTATTAAGAGCGTCTTGACGCAAGTTAATTTTTACATCAACTTTTCTTTTATCGAGGCATAAAGCAGTCTCGGATTGCTGTAACTACTACAACATACCGCATGATAGAAAACTAAGCGTGTTGTGAAATATAACTCGTATATAATGCTGAGATATTTACAAAACTCCGGTCTGCAGGTGTATGCGGTGGGGAACGAACGCGCTATTGTCCTTTCCGGTGAGTAGCGCACTTCACCACCACACCATGTAGGTCCTTCGTTTCGCCTGCCTCTCAGCTAGTTCTATCGATCTTTTGCCATCAGCATAGAACTAGCTGAGAGACAGGCAAAACGAAGGACCCGGATGGTGTGGTGGTGAAGTGCGCTACTCACCGGAAAGGACAATAGCGCGTTCGTTCCCCACCGCATACACCTGCAAACCGGAGTTTTGCAAATATCTCAGCATTATATACGAGTTATATTTCGCAACATACCCTGCCATTAAAAAGAAAAAGGCGGTAAATAAAAGGGTTGAGATTAAGCATGTTGTATATGAACAAATGCAATCTGCTTCTCTAGTACTGTATTATAACTCTTAAGCAGAATGATTTTATACTACGCAAGTACGGTGGCAGGTTAATCGATATCAAGGTTTTTGTTGTTAGTCTGAGTACTACCAATGGTAGGATTATGCCTGTAAGGCTCAACATCACTGTTTGCTCTACCCAAAAGCCAAGAATATAATAAACTCGATCTTCCCTCACATTATTGAGGGTGTTTATTATTGGAGATTTTCGTTTTTTTTTCTTGTAGCTAGGCTGAGTTTTATTGATTCGTCGTCATAGCAGATGGATATTTGTCGAGCAAAGTCAAGTGATTTTTTCCTTCCTTCTCTTCACAGTGTTTTAAAATGCTGAGGGTTCATCATTAAAAGAGAACATGTGCTGTGGGAACCGTAGGCTTTTAATTCTCAGCTAATGTGCCAAACCCAGTATACTTTTTGATTGCACTTTATCTATAAAGGCTCGTTCAGTCAGAACTTAATTGCGGAAATAATTACAACTTATGGAAATTATCTAAATTCTCTGTTACATTAGCAGTTTTGTAGATCGTTGGGTGATTCCGAGGTGACTCGTATTTCACTGATTTGGCAAGATTTTCGTTCCTGAGGTTCCTGAGATTTAACAAAAAAATATTCATGCCAATGAGTCTCACTTTTTTAATTTATGCACTGCTTAACCTACTGAATCAGATTGAGCTTTCGCGTTGTTATTAGCTTTATTATAACAAACAGTGTGAAGATAATGTTATACCTTTTTATTTTCTGCCTACTATAATTTCGCGGCATGGTACTAAGCGAAATACAACCACAACGTTGCTGAGATATTTGCAAAACTCTGGACCGCAGGTGTCTATGGTGGGGAACGAAAGCGCTATTGTCCTTACCGAGGAGTAGCGCACTTCACCACCACACCATGCGGGTCCTTCGTTTCGCCTGTCTCTCAGCTATTTCTGCCATGAAAATTATAGAAGGCAGAAAACAAAACGTTAAACATTGTGATTTCATTCTGTTCGTATTTTTTTGAGCAAAGGCGAGGTGTTACTATTCTTTGTTCACGATTAAGCTGACGTTTCGGCGAATTTCGCCTTCTTCAGAGCCTGGAAAGGTCAAGTTGATAGCAACTCACTCGGCCAGACGCCTCCATAACCAAACAAAGAAACTCCAAACCAAGATTTCAATCACTTTGAACACAGCTTTGCACACTCACCGCTTTCTATGAGGTCTCCACTAAGTATGTCACGTAGAGACCAACCGCACAGAAATCACGTAGAAGTGTAATGTGCCCCTCACATCAGAAAAGCAGTTTTATATACTGCCCTATATCACGCGTGATAATGAGGCATTCTTCCCTGCGGTTCATTTTCGGATTTCTGGAATTAATCCAGAATGCCTCGAGAGTTTTTCGCGCCTGTGTTCTTGATTCGCGTGCGAGGATCGTGACACATACTTCGAAGTCGTCCCCGTTATGTCTCTGGGTCCTATGCGTGCCAAGCGGGGTATTTGGTCTATTTTTGCCGGCTAGGTGTTCTTTCATGCGGACACAGAGAGGTCTACCCGTTTCGCCAATGTATTCGTCACCACACGTCTTACAGGAGATCAGATAAACTATACCCGAGCTCATGCAATCACCGTCTCTACCACTGGGGCAAATTATGCAATTTTGAGTTGCACATAGACGGTCATATAGGCGGTTACGAGCTAGCTGGCGCTTAAGATTACTCGGTGGTATTGTGATTTCAACTACAGCCGCAGCTTAACTAGGTTCTATGCCGATTTGGGCACCCCAGATCAATCTCGCTGACGGGTGATTGCTGTGGCAAGGATCGATAGAAATAGCTGAGAGACAGGCGAAACAAAGGACCCGCATGGTGTGGTGGTGAACGTGTTACTCCCCGGAAAGGACAATAGCGCGTTCGTTCCCCACCATACACACCTGCGGTCCAGAGTTTTGCAAATATCTCAGCAACGTAGTGTGATGATAGTTTGCGGTTCGAGTGCATTTCCAGTGGGGTGATTCTCTCGCACAATAGGCGCATGTGGAGCCTCTTTTTGTCACCTTTTTTAGTAATCGTGTGTAACTCTATTTGGAGAATGAACTTTTCGTTTTATATGGCAGCCGAATTACCCGGAGCCAACATCGTCGTCAGAAAGATGACTATAAATAATTGAGAAAAATATTCGATAACGTCAAGCAATAGTGCAGTTCTGCTAAAAATACGGGCATCACTATAATTTATGCGTGTGTTTAGCATAGTGGAGCGAAAATCGGAGCTACTGGAAAATCCATGAATTACTTAAGTTATGAAGATTATTTATGTTTCAGCGTTTTTACTTCGCGTTCTCTTCGATAATTCGTTCCATCACGTACACAAAATATGCTGCGATATTTGTTGAAAGATGTTGAAAAGACAACTAGCTGTATCCAGCTGCATTCACCATCTTCATCACTTGGGTGGTCAGCTGCCCAAAGGTATACCTAACGGTCGCTTTCAATTTTAATTTAGCAGATCTCACCTCAAGGCGAACTTCATTAGGTTGTACAAATTTTTCTCACAGAACGAGAACCATTTCGTTTTTCGCGATGAAATCCTGGTTTTCGGAAACCCACTAAAAGAATTTTGTACACTTTTTGGTTGAGGCTCGTATTTCGAAAGCGAAAACAATTCAGCAAGCAACATTCAGCCCACTAAAACATGGTTATTTTCTCAGATGCATTCTTAGTGTTTATGATCGCTGAAGTTTTGTGTGGGCGATTAAAAATTTGGATTTCTTTCTGGACATTTTAGTGTCAAACAACTTTGAAAATGTAACAACAGTTTCAGAAAAAACTTTTTTATTCTTAATGGATAAAACAGTCTCCTCCATAATTCAGCTTCATATATCCACTTCAAATTCGTCAAATTACTTAATTATCGAGAATTTCTCAGCAGCTTGCAGAAAAGACGTTTCGGTCCTTGTGTGTTTCAACGATGAGACTTTCCCGATGAGGACATGCTCCCTACCGATTTCTACATTTCCTCCACATTCTCATTGCAATCTTCTTTACACTTAACCAATTTTTGCTCAAAACCGTGAAATCGATGACTATATCTAAAATGTGCTTGTAGCATGAAGGACAGCAGACGGTGTTGCAGATGAACATCCCTAGTCGAACCCAGCCGAAAACAGAATATTTTTTATGTCACCTGCAACGAGCATAATGACAAAGTGCGCAAAAACGTTATTCGACAAAACTGCTATGCAGAAATTTTTACTGAAAACTTTAGAGAAACATTCCCACGACAGACGACCTTCACATGGCTAGGCACGGTCTCTACACATTAGGCCTTTTTTTCACGGAGTACTCATGAGGTTAATAGGTCTGTAAACCCATTCAGTCAACTTGTTCCCGTGTTGGTAAGTACTCTCATTAGAATCAGTGCTTATTGCATATAAGGTAATATTAGTATGAATTGTTTTTGTTGTCTCAAGTGTATCTTGAGAATCGCTTTCCTGTTTTTTTCGCAACTCCCTCTTTCCAACTTGTCAGATGGAATCTTTTTTAAATTTTTTTCCTTTATTATTTGTACAGTCTTCACTTAAAATGCCAACTAATGGACGAATTTATCCTTGGCTCTGCAGCGTCAAAGTGCCTGCAAGGCCAATTCTTTGTGACGAATTCGTGTTTTCGCACACCTCTGTGCTGCTCTGTATGGGCGTAGTTCGTTGTTTGCTTTGTTCCATATATGTCATCTGCGAGTGCTTCAGTTCACTTACAGACCTATTTGGACCCGTCCAGACTTCATCTTGCAACGGTAACAAAGGTGACAGCGTTATCACGAAGATTTTACTTTGAAGTAAATAATATAATGTTATGTTGACTTTCTTTTTACTGTCTACTAGAATTTTTTCACTGCGGGGTATTATACGAAATTAAACCACAGGGTTACTGAAAATATTTGCAAAACTCCGGATCGCAAGTGTCTGTGGTGGGGAGCGAACGCTCTATTAGCCCTTCTGGAAACGAAAGTGTTCACCACCACATCATACCGGTCATTCGTTCGCTTTTCTCTCAGTTAGTAGTTTCCTAGTTTTTTTATAGCATTATGTATTAAAAGAGCGATTGAGCTTACTTAATGGTCATGTGATTTGCACAAGCATTTTCAGTGTAATCGCTCAAACCATCTTTTTGAGGTTTAACTAACATTGTCATATCTTACGATGACATGTTTTTAGATATATATAGCTAAATTTGAATATATATGACGTATATAGTACATATGTATGTATATATAAAACGATGAAGCTAGGTGTTGAACAAACGCTGAAGAATGCACCATGCGTCTACTTCATCAAGCATCATGAGAGGTGATTCAATGCATATCTAGCCTAAACAATTACTCACAGTAGCCTAGCGATGAATCCGGTCAGTGTTGAATTCCTCCTAGACAAGTCTAGCACCGATTCGCCGCCCCTAGAGGGATGGAAAGCTTGGTGAGCCTGGAGAGAGGAATCGATCACATGTGTATTGCAAGCTGCCTCCAACCGTGCGTTAAATGCGGTCTTTATATATATATATATATACATATATATATATAAATATATATAATCTTAACCGTTTTATTTACTGCCTACTCTTTTTAATCGCAGGGTATGTTGCGAAATATAACTTCAATGATGCTAAGATATTGGCAAAACACCGGACAGCAGGTGTCTGCGGTGGGGAACAAACGCGCTATTGTCATTTCCAGGGAGTAACGCGTTCACCAGCACACAAGCGAAGGACTCGCAGACACCTGCAGTCCGGAGTTTTGCCAATATCTCATTAAAGTTATATATGTATATAAAGTCTCAAATGGTGTAGCACATTGTAGTCCAAAGATGTTTCCCGGTGTCAAAACGCGATTTGTAGTGTAGGGTTATACTCCAGCAGAGCCACCCAGCCTAAGAATTTTTCACCACTTTTGTACGAAAGTTCAGAAAGTATAAACGTATAGCATAAAAGTGTCCAGTTAGCTATAGGCTCATAATAAATTCTTCCCAGGAGTAGTAGGGGGAAGGTTGTCATTCTAAGAGCGCTCTATACCGTCTGAGTCTGGCTATTTACACTTGGTGGAATTATTCATCGCCATTCGGAATTTGAATGTAAAACTGCAGTGGGAACTAAATGTGACCAGCAGTTATTTTTTTAATCAGCTTAAAATTACGACGTTGATGAAAAAAATTTTTTAGAGACCACGTCATTCATAGTGAACAAAACTAATATCACTAAACACCGAAGCTACGTTTATCTCAGTCGAAAACTTTACAAGTTAAAAAAAGTAGTTCTAGAAGTGGTCAGGGAGAAAAAGGCAACTTAGAGAGCTTACAAAAGCATCGAGTATATAATTAGGAAGACAATGAGCACACAGAACAGTATCTTATTCGTAAAGAGAGGACGCGTCGATCTATGTCAATGATTAACCATCAAGACGATATAGGGAATCAGATGATCGTCAAACACAATCTTTTCTAGAGGCAATGGGTGAAGAATAAAATCGAAATGAGGATTCCTGATGCATGACAAGAATGAATAGGTCTTATACCTTGGCCCGCGTACGAATTGTTCGATAGTCAAAAAACTAGCAAAGGCCGGTTTATAGGTCGGTGCAGAGTAAATCATTAATGGTGAAAAAACACAAAGTGAGTCACTGATCGTGTGTATGAGCTTAAAAATAACGAAAAAAGTATGGGTATGTTGTACTGAATATAATAAACGGATGTAATGATAGTGTGATTGGTTGTTACAATGACTGTATAATGATAATTCTATGCATGTATCCTCTGAGACGACAATTTACTAACACCTCTAAGACTTTGCGTTTCCCCATTATTCAACTTTTCAGATATCTTATTCCCACAGGAGAAAAGCTTTAATAACAACAAAAAAACTCTCCTTATGTTTTTTTTTCAAACGCCGGGTGGTTCAATTTAGTGCCGGCAAATGGATAGTCAGTGTTTTTCCCATACTCATGGGCTTCCACGAAGTTATAAAATTTTTGTTCAGCTAAACGTTTGCCGATTGAGGTTTTTTTTGCAATAGCCTCGTGCAAGATCATAAACAGAGAGAAAATATTCTTCTACTGGTTTCATTCCATTGAATGTTAGATTGTTCTTACACTAGATCAAATTCGCTCTTTGACGGTCTGAACCTATCTGATGCGAAAATTATGGGCCTGCTCATTGAGATGCGAGATTTGAGTAAAAGGAAAGGTAGGCATTTATGAAAACACTATACTAATTTATTTCTATTGTTTGTTCATACATTTTATTTTATATCACCTCCCGTTATCATGTCTACTGAGCGCATCCCATCACTTCTTGCATTCGTTCGCTTTCCTCTCATTCATCGTCCACAATGGTCTTCAAACACTTCGCGCGTTGTTTCGGCCGCTGCTTGAGGTTTCCGACTTCCTTATGAATGTCGTAGAATGCTGGTCGAGTCAGTTCTTTTCGCAATCTTGAAGATAGCCGGAAAGAGGCATTCCCATGTCGACTGGAGGAGAGCATTAGGGGTAGGATCGAACTAGCGCCTTTGTTTCCTGGTCGGCTGCGTCACTAACCATTCAACTACCACCGCCCATCTCTTTCTTCTTATAACTAATTCATTTCGTTTAATCCCATAAACGAGATTTTTTTTAGAATTTTCTAAACTTAATAAAACGAAAACAATTTTGGAAGTTCTTGTACGTAGTCAAAAGTTGTTACCTGTTATCTAGTCGGTTTCTTCCCATCATCAGTAATCTCCTACCTGTTTTTTGTTTTCACTTAGTCTTCTTATACTCCTTACCTCATTTCCTCATCACTTTAATTTTTGATTCGATTACATTTCGCCGTAGCGATATTGCTTCCTCTAAGGTGCAAAGGGGACAAAGATGAGGGTTGTTTCCTAAAAATTTCTTAGCAGGTTAATGATAGCGACATAGGACGACTCTAGGAATGTTTGCCCTGCTGTTTTGCCACACATTCAGTGTAATACTGACGCGCATTGTTTTCTCTCAAAGAATTTGCCTCTAGCCCACAATGGAGTGTAGTTGTTTCCATAACACGATCTCTCTGTGCAACGTTGTCAGTCTAGATTCGCATAAAAAAGGTTTCCCTGTCTCGTATCGAAGTTTTTTTTTTAGATAGCTTGTT